TAAAAGGTTACACATTCTAGGATTCTAGTCTAGGACATTATTGCAAAAGGCAAAAATATATGAAAATAAATTCATAATGTTTTCCAGGAGTTCTGCGAGTGATTAAGTTGGCCATAAAGATTGAGTAAATATATTGTGACGGGCTGTATTAGTTAATGAATTCACATTTGGCCAAATGTTAGAGCTGCACACTAAAAAGTATCCGTAGCACATTTTGTCATTTACATGTAAGCTAAAGATTAAAAATCATAAATAACAAGCAGTTCAAAGTTATGTGCACACAAATTTAAAACACACTCAGCTGACTCCCATAGGAAGTGCAATTGCTTCTTCTCTCGCTAAGTGGGATGAAGTACGCTGTAGAGTCTCTTATTCAGAATTCCCTGCTGGTTTGCATGCATTGGTCTCTGAAGTCCAGCTTCATGACAGGTAACTTTATTTTAGAGGGAGCAGATGTTCCCACTAAACACATGGATCCGTGTGCTCCTGATACATTTATCTGAATGTCAAGCTCTATTATTACATGCAAGTCTTGTTCCAGCCTGAAGATACACTACGAGTCATGGTGAAGAAAAAGACTCACAGGGTTAAAATTATATTAAGTGATTTTATAATAGTAGCAGTAGTAGTAGTAGTAGTAACAATAAGTCACCTGGCACACTGTTTTGTAGGTTTTGCTTTATTTGCTATTTACAAATACAATTCCATGGGTTGTGTTAGAGGGAACATCTTTTTGACCTTATTTTAAAACGGGATGCGGTGAGTCTTCCAAGTACACAGGATTCATGATAGATTCAGGACTTAAATGAGATGTGAGACACGTTTTCTTTACATTTCCCTGTCTCAACGAGCTTAGACCCCTTTGCCATAACCTTCAATAGAGCTACTCCAACAACACATTATTCTGTGGGAGAACTTACTGGTTTCAAATTCATTGCACAGGATCGACTAGCATTTGTTTCCAGGGAACAAGGTAAGCATCTATTCAAGGTACCAATTACAGTGGGAACTGCAATCCATACAAATGAGTACAGTATATGCATCTCCCTCAACTCCTTCTATGAGCTTAGGACAGGAATTGAAGTGCTGAACATGATTCTAAAACACCAAGGTGAGCCTAAAGTATAGAGATGCTTAAGTTCTGAGAGCAAACCATTTGGTGATACTACTAAAACATTATATTGGTGAGGATTTTTTAATATAAGCCAAAAATATTGGTGATACACTGGTTAAATAGGTGACAATTTCAATTTGTTCCCTGGGTATTTCTTATTGGAGATAAAACAAAAAGAATGAAATAAAAACAGAGTAGCATGGTCTTTCTTTGTTGTTGTTTTGCTTTATACATTACTTTATTTTTTTTGCGGGGGGGTGGGGGGGGTCCGGTCGTGGTGCCTGAATTCTAGGCCTGGACGCTGTTCCTCAGCTCTTCAGCTCAAGGCTAAAGCTCTACCACTTGAGCCAAAGCACCACTTTTTTCTTTTTGCTTATGTAGTGCTGAGGAACTGAACCCAGGGCCTCAGGCATGCAAGGCAAGCACTCTACCACTGAGCCACCTTTCCAGCCCCTACTTTATATTTTTAATTTAATAACTCTTCTTTATTGTAAAGATACTGTACAGAGGGGTTACAGTTACATGAGTAAGGTAATGAGTACATTTCCTATTGAGCATTGTTACCCCCCCTTTAGTTTTCCCCCTACCATCCCTTCCCTTCCTCCCTCCCCCCACCCAGTTGTAAAGTTCATTTTTAACATAGTGTCTTGTACATCTCATTGTTACAATGGGTCAACCTGTATCCTTGTTTCAGCATTTTGTTATGCTTTATTCTTATTGTAGAGGTGAGGTTACAGTTACATGTCATATAATGAGTACATTCTTTTTGAACCATGTTTATTTTGAGGTAAGTTCTATGAAGCTTAGGCTAGCCTTCAAATTCACAATTTTCCTACCTCCACCTTCCAAGTGCTGAGATTATTTGTACGCACCTGGCTAATGATTCTTCTTTATACTACATGGACCTAATGAATCATCAGAATCTGACCTGAATTTAAACACTCTCCCACTTCGTCCCTTGATCTCATAAGTATTCCTCATCTACAAATACAATCATGTGGCTACATGGACAAGCTTTTACTTAGGATTAAGTTGCATTTAAATATTGACTCTTCCTAAATGTACCCATAGAATTGTAAAATATTACTTAGCTTCAAAATTATCAGTTCCTTTAATAGCAATAAGAAAAAATGAAAATAGTACCAACCTACATACATCTAGGCAATAAATACACCCATACACAGTAACATGTGCATTTATACATAAAGCTCTTATCATGTGTTTTGGAGCAGAATCTATGATGAAAATGGATACAAATAAAGACCTGGTGGATTAGACTTATATAGTGGAGTTGTAAAAGGAAAATGAATAAAACAATATGGAGTATTAGTTACTAGGTACTAGATAGACTTCCAAAGCAACTTCAAACAAAAAGATTTTAGCATCTTGGTCCTATCTTGCCATAGATTCAACTTTAGAATCTTCTGAACTTTAGAACCTTCTGCTTTTGTCCACAAAAGCAGAGCTATAAGCTAAACAAACTGGAAACTCCCAACCCGTACTAACTTTGACTCAGCCATGGAATGATAGTAAATGAGAAAAAGAACACTCGTTCAACTAGAGCTAAATGTGGGGATGAAGCACAGGACTGGCTCCTGGGGGTTGTCCAGAGCAACAGTCACATGTGGAGAGCATGGACACGGTGTAAATTATTGGGTGATGGGGTAGAGAGAGGACAAATAAAGTCTCCGTAGATTTGGTGTCCACCTGTGGGCAGTTTATGAACAGTGTAAATCATGGGAGAAGGGGAAGAAACACAGAAAATCTCGGTGCACATAGTGTCTGTCCACTAGCAAAGGAAAAAGAATGGAAGGAAGGACTTGAAACTCATCCACACTTGAAGCCCTACATGTTGGTACTTCCTTTCCCAGACACTCAAAAGCCATCAGCGAGCAATTGTCTGGATGAACCGAACATGCAGCACTTTATTCGTGATCAGTATAGTATCTTATTTAATTCTGACAAAAATACCTCACTACCATCTGAATTCTACATATGGAGAAAATGTTACATTAGAATGAGGAGGCTTTCGTTGTACATGTAAGGCTGAAATGAGTCCTTCCCAGTACCCAAGCTCCGTACCTAAAGTCAGAGCTGTCTCTGCTGGTTATAGCAGTTCCTCCTGCTCCAGCCATCTCACCACATCTTCTATTCAGTATCCCTCATTTAATTCATGGAAAACCTCAAATACTGACTTTAGAATAATGGAGAACATTAGTAAGTATAAATTGAGTTAAGTTCAATTGAACTCAGTTCTATTACAAATTGATTTAAATTCATTGAATGTAGTAGTTAACCACTCCACCTGGGACCAAAGCTGGACTGCTAACTTGTATTTCTGAGTGGCTACAATTATATTACAACCCTCACAATTCAATTCATACAGAAGTTATAACTATTCAGCTTGATAATAGAATAGATGATAGAAAAGGGCTTAGAACAGTTCCTGGCACATTAGCAATCAGGAATTCACCATGCTAAGAAAAGATTGAATGATTGACAGATTAATCTCACTGACTTCATCTAGAATGTTTTGTTAAGATTTTGATATATTTTTTCCAAGTCTTTCCATTTCCTAACAAATGGGGTAGTTTCATTCTTTTTCATGGAAGCATAGAATTCCTGTGTGTGTGTGTGTGTGTGTGTGTGTGTGTGTGTGTGTGTGTGTGTATCACATTTTCTTGATCCATTCATCTACTGAGGGGCACCCGGGTTGCTTCCATATCTTAGCTATGGTAAATAATGCAGCAATAAACATAGTTGTGCTGGTAGCTTTAGTATGGTCTTGTTTATGATCATTTGGGTAAATGCCCAAAAGTAAGATTGCGGGTCATAGGGGAGCTCTATGTGGAGTCTTTTGAGAAACCTCCATACTACTTTCCAAATTGGTTGAACAACTTTACACTCCCACCAACAATGCAGTAGGGTTCCATTCTGTCCACATCCCCTCCAGCATCTGTTGTTATTAGAGTTCTTGATTATAGCCATTCTAACTGGGTTGAGGAGGAATCTCAATGTTGTTTTGAAAAAATTATATTAAGTGAAGTAAGCCAGGCCCAAAGAAACATAGGTCCCATGGTTTCCCTTATTTGCAATAACTAGTAGATATTTGGGACAAGCAGAAAAGGTCAGATAAGATTATCTTAAGCAAAATGAACCCCAAGATAGGTACACAAATAGTGTTTTCTTTCTTGCTATTGTTTCTAATGTATTTATAAGGTACCATGTGATTTTTTTGTTGCTTTGTATGTTCCTCCCCCATGGTATAACCCCTGTTTTCACTGTATTTGATGTCAGTATCATTTGGGGAGGGGAAGGGAAAAACAAATTGTTTAAATAGGGATACAGGTGGACCCATTACAACAATGAGATATGCAAGACGTTATGTCGAAGACGAACTTTACAATTTAGTTGGGGGGGGGTAGTTGAGGAGGCAGGAGGAAAGGGATGGTAGGGGGAAAACAAAGGAGGAGGCAACAATGCTTGATAAGAAATGTACTCATTATCTTGCTCATGTAACTAACACCTCTGTACAGCATTTTCACAATAAAAAAAAACTTATTTAAAAAAGGGAGGAACTATAAACTAAAATTTTCCCAAGTACCGAAATAGCATTTTTAAAAATAAAATATATAACCCTAAAAAAAGATGTTGAAATCTCAATTTAAGCTAGATAAATGTTTTTTAAATGCAGATGTGATCCAGAAAGATTCTCTCACTAGACAGTCTGAGGTTCTAGAGATAATTAGTGCACAGTTTTGCTGATGTTCATGCTTTGTTTCGGGAGAATATTGAAACACACGGTATTACCACAATAAAATGATGCCTATTTCTATCCAAACACTTCCATGTCATTGCAGTCATTGAAGCCACAGCCTAAGTAACACTGATGGAGAACAGAACAGAGGTGACAGAGTTCATCCTGCTGGGGCTAACCAATGTCCCAGAACTACTAGTCCCTCTCTTCATCATGATCACCCTCATCTACCTCATCAATGTCGTTGGGAACCTGGGGATGGTCCTGCTGATTCTCTTGGACTCTCATCTCCACACCCCCATGTACTTCTTCCTGGGTAATCTATCTCTGGCAGACTTTTGCTATTCCTCAGCTGTCACTCCCACCGCCATGGCTGGACTCCTTACAGGAAGCAAGGTCATTTCCTATCATGCTTGTGCTGCTCAGACATTCTTCTTCGGAAGCTTCGCCAGTGTGGAAAATTTACTCTTGGCGGCAATGGCTTATGACCGCTATTCAGCTGTTTGCAAACCCCTGCATTACACCACCACCATGACATCAACTGTGTGCATATGTCTGGCTGTAGGTTGCTATGCCGGAGGTTTCCTGAATGCTTCCTTTCACACTGGGGAAACGTTCAGTCTCTCCTTCTGTGAGTCCAATGTGGTCCATCACTTTTTCTGTGATGTCCCAGCCGTCATGGCTCTGTCTTGCTCTGACAGACATGTGAATGAGCAGGTTCTTGTTTATGTAGCCAGTTTCAATATCTTTTTTGCCCTTCTGGTTATCCTGGTATCCTACCTATTCATATTCATCAATCTTCTAAAGATGAGTTCCTCCGTGGGATACCAGAAAGCTTTGTCCACCTGTGCCTCCCACTTTGCTGCAGTTTCCATTTTCTATGGGACAATCATCTTCATGTACATACCACCCAGCTCCAGTCACTCTATGGACACTGACAAAATCGCATCCGTGTTTTACACAATGGTCATCCCCATGCTGAACCCTGTGGTCTACAGCCTGAGGAACAAGGAGGTCAAAAGTGCATTCAAAAAGGTGGTTGCTGGGAAGGTGGCTCAGTGGTGGAGTGTTTGCTTCACATGCATGAGGCCCTGAGTTTGATTCCTCAGCACCACATAAGCAGAAAAAGCCGGAAGTGGCGCTGTGGCTCAAGTGGTAGGGCGCTCGTCTTGAGCTGAAGAGCTGAGGGACAGCGCCCAGGCCCAGCGTTCAGCCCCCACGACCGACAAAAAAAAAAAAGTTGTTGGTTGCACCATTTATTGAAGTGACGTTCTTTTTCAGTGTCTGCTCTCTGCACCTTTGTCAAAAATCTATTGCCTGCCTGCATGCATTCATTCTCAGGTTATCTTCCCTACCACTGGTCTGTCTGTGTGTTGATTTTTAGGTTTGTTCTATGGATTGTTGTATATTTTAAAGTCAAATACGACGGTGCCTTCAACTTTCATGTTTCTTTTCTACCCTCAGGGTTGCTTTTCCTATTCTGGTCTCTGGTACTTTGTTTTGATTACTATTGTGATAGAGAGTGTGTATACATAAGACAGAAGATTGGGTTAATTTAAATAATTCACTGGGGAATTATAATGTAAACTTAAAATTGTCACTTTCTTCAGTTGAGTAACTGTTCTAAGAGATCTAACTTGAGAATACAGTCAGAAAAATTGACATTTTAAAAGAAAGCACATGTTCCCATTGTTGTACATTTTATGGAGAGAGACAGAGATAAAATATCTAGAATAAATTATTTACCTCATATTTACACAATGGAATTCTATGCTTCCATTAGAAAGCATGCTATTGCACCATTTGTAAGGAAATGGACAGACTTGGAAAAAATATATATTTAGCAAAGTAAGCCAGACCCAAGGAAACATAGGTTACATGGTTTCCTTCATGTGGTAATTTGAACGTGCCTATAAATCTAAAAGTACACAATAGATAGTAAAAGACAAATAATTATACTTGGACGTAATAAATTATACAGGACTCTACACATTTACACAGTGAGACCAAAGGAGGATATTCTTGTGAGAAGATCACAAAGGTTCAATAGCTATGTGCCTATGTTCATATAAAATGGTGTTATCAAAATGAACTCCAAGAAATTGAAGTAAGAGGATTTTTGTTATTTTGCTTCTCTCTCTTTTTCTCTCTCTTTCTCTCTCTCTTCCTTCTCTGTGGCTGATTTTGTTTCTGGACATCTTGCCTTGTATGTAAGTTTATCTGTTTTGGTGAGGGTAAAGTAAGACACAGAAATGGTGGGACAAAGGGTGAACAAATGTATCAGTGATACTCACTAGACATTATATTGAAAGTGAACTATACAACTTGTGGAGGAGGGGTCAGGAGGGAAAATTTGGGAGAAAATGAGGGAAGAGGTGATGCTTCTCAAAGAGAAATGTACTCATTACCTGACTTATATAACCATAACCCCACTGTTTATCACCTTTACAATTAAATAAATACATAAGTTACATACCTTGACTAATTCATTTGGTAGAATCTGTGTGTTCATTTTACTCTTTTCGGGAGGGACAAAATAGTCACAGTAAAATTTTAAAAAATGAAAAGCAAAATAAGCTTAAAACTTGTCAGCGTACTAGTCACACTCTTAAAGAAAAAGAATCTAAGATGTAAGGTTCCCTATTTTTCTTTCTAAAATGCTTGAAACGCTTAAAGTTGTTCATTGATTCTTTGTTTTTGCATTTTGATTGGCATTGATTAGTTGTACAAGGGGGAGTTATTTCATTTTGACCCATCCCATATCTGCATCTAAGATACCTTGATCAGACTCACCCCTTCCATCATCCTCCCTAACACCTCCTCCCCCCACTCCCCAAGCTAATCTCAACACGCTTCACTGTTCCATTTCACACACATTGATAGGATTTTGTCCTTACTCAGCCTCCTTCCCCTCTCCGTTCAGCCTCGCCACTCCTACTTGAATTCACGCCTCAGACAAGACTTGTCTTATATGACTTATCCCTTTTTCATATGTGTGCTATCCATTATATCATCTTGCCTCTGCTTCTAAGCCTTTCATTCTACTTTTTTTCATCCTAATGTCCTTGACCTTTCTTCCTGATTCTACCTGTAGACCCTGCCTCTCCAGTCCCTCTGTGTGATATTCCCTCACTCCATTCAGGTCTCTGCCTAATGAGATGTTATGCTCTCTTGACAGACGTGGCCACTGCTATTAAATGGCCTCTCTCCCCTCCCAATTCACACAGTCTCTTCATTCTGTCCTGGTCCTCCTAGATCCTACCACCATTCCCTACCATATAACTCATCCACTTGTTTATCATCCTCAACCACCACTGAAACGTCACAGCAACAGTAATTTTATGTGCTTTATTTATACAGTCTTGCTCGACACCTAAATAGATGTGTGTTTCTTTGAGGATTCTTGATGATTATTTGTTAAAAATGAATGGATAAAATTAAGCTATAAATCCAGCGATGTTGCTAGGAGTCTCTGATTGACTGAGAGCCATAATGACTCATCCATACATAAATCTTCCAGTCGTGGAGTGCATTTCAAGGACTACGATTCATTTTCTGATTTGCAAAATAATTTTTATCTATATTCTCACTCGGAGTGCACACTCTCCACTTTCAAGTTCTGAATTCCTGGAAATCCCATCATCACGTAATCACCTCATAATTTCTACTTTGAAATGATGTCTCATTAAGTGGCAAGACACAAGCTAAATAAATACTGTTTAGTAAATCATGTAAAGCAACTAAGTATGAGATTATATAAATGTTTAATGTATAATCCTATTTGGAAAATTACTCCCTATGTGTGAATTACATAATGAATTGAAATGATTCTAAATGCCAATATAAAATATAAACATTGTAATATCTGTTGGTTATAAATACACCCTCAATATGCTTATACAGTGTGTAATATTTATGGCTTTAATTTTTATCCACAGGAAGCTCTATAACATGCAGAAACTACCCACAGGGTGTGTTGACCATATCTTCTTTTTCTGTATACAATTAGATGCCATACATCTAATTTTTTTTTACAATAACGATTTGAATGTGCTATGGTGTCTTTGAACAGTGCTGAGTATAAAACAGTTTTTCACTTTATCTTTTTGGAAATGTTTTCCCTCTTATGACATTTCTAGTTCTCATTAAAATCATGGCCTTTATCTTATGATTATCATAGATTTAGGGAAAGTTTTCAAACACAGTGCAAAAAGTTCCCATCTAATACAGTGTCCATCTGAATAATTACCCTACCCAAAGATCCAAGTCCTAATTCTAGGAAGTTGTAAATATTGCCTTATGTGGAATGAAAGGGAAAAGAGCAATCTGAATAAGATCAGTACTTAAACACTGAGATATTATCATGGCTTATTTTTGACCCCTGTTACTACAAAGCCAACATCTAAGGGGGAAAAAAAGGTACATTTCCAATAAAGGAACTGTTTTTAATCTTTCAGAAGTTGTACCAAAGGAGTTGCCATTTAACAAAACAGTTTATGGATACAATATATCTTGATCATGGTCACCCAATAAAGGAACTTTGTAGATTTTGGGATAAAACAACAGCAAAGATGTTGGGACAAGATGGCCTGGGCTGTGTCCAGAGCAGAAAGGAAAGATTAGTGTTTCACTGGGACAAAGGAAGCTGTACACAATGTTGTGTGCTTATTGATGTCAATGGTTACTAGGTAAGAGCCATGATCTTCAAGAGTCATGATCATAGCCAGATGTTTTATTGAATTGGGTTCGTGAAACACAGTCAGGCAAGTGTTCCTTGTACTAATCTGCATCCTTGCACTTGTGGGAGCCCTCTTCTCATTGCTTTCCCTGGCTCCATTTGCCAGGATTTGACAAGGTGACATTGCGTGACTATGACTAGCTTCCCATTTTCTCATAGCTGATCAAGAACTGTCTCTGAAAGCACTACTGGTTATTCTGTGCTTCGGAATTGATGACCCCTGGGTGCTGGGTTGCACCTGTCCTGCTTGGCTTGGTGACTGGTGGAAATGACTGATGCGAAGACCCTGTGACTGGGTGTGTCAAAAACCTTTTAGCTCTGTGTGAGTATCGGGAGAGGGTGGATGGGAGGAGCATTTGTTAGGCAAAAATCACTGGGAGCCTGTCATTAAGTTCAAGTCTGTCAGCTCCACGGGTGTTGGTTATCATTCTGAAATTCTAGACCAGTGATATTAGATTGGGTATTGCTTCTGTGGAAGCTGGACATGGGTTTAAAGAAAATAGTTTATTTTGAACATGGGATTTCTTGATAGTTATACAGGCTCTCCACACTTTGTGCCATGCCTCTGGTACTTTTTGTTTGTTATTTGTAGAAAGGGTATCCAGGCTAACCTCGGACCATGATCCGCTTATGTATCCAACATAGCTGGGATATACAGGTGAATACATGCCATCATACCCTGCTTATTTGTTGAGATTAAATCTTACTAACGTTTTGCCCAAGCTGGCCTCAAATTGTGATCCTTACAATCTCTGCCTCCTGTAGAGTTGGGATTGTAGGTATGAGACATTGTGCTCAACTGATACAACATTCAAAGAAAATAATCTGATAGAGAAGTAATAGGAGCATAATATAATTTACACAGTGGCTGTGACCTAAGAACCCAAGTCTAAGAGCAACCATAAAAAGACCATGGGGAAATGAAAGAATTTATAGGTCTTACCTTTAAATGGACAAGTCCTGTGTCATTAGCCTTACCAAGTAAACAGAGCAGCACAGAAAGAAACAAGACTTTCTCACTATTGAAAAGTATGACAAAGATAAAATGAAAAAAATCTTTTTTTAAAAAAAAGAACACTGTACACTTTTTTTATTTTGGTCATTACTAGGATTTGAACATGGGGCCTTGAGTTTACTAGACAGTGCTATATCACTGAGTCATGCTCCCAATTCTATTTTGTACTGGTTATTTTTGACAAAGTATCCTAATTCCTGCTTGGGCATGATCCTGGACCTTGAGCCATCTATTTGATACTTCTTCCCAGTATAGCTAATAAGGATATACCAACATGCCCAGCCTCCTCCAGACAGATGGAGTCTCTCAAATATTTCTGTCTGCTCTGACCTGCAACTGTGATGCTACTAATCTCAGCTTCCCACATGACATGCTACACCTATCATGCTCCCAGGCTGGCCTCAAACTATGATTCTTCCGACCTCACACTCCTAGGTAGCTAGGATGACCAATCTGAGCTATTGGCACCCAGCTTTAAAACGAGTGAGATAGAGCCTCAAAAGTTGTTTTGATACTTAGTCTTAATCATTTGTGTGATTAACAGAAATAAATCTTGTAATACTGCCCAAATGATCCTAATTTATGTTCGATTTTGACAATGAAAGCCTGCACCATTTTTAAAGTATCTATTTTACTTGAGACTTGACATGTCACAAAGAAAAATTCATTTACTTACTTTTCAGTTTGAAGAAACCATTATTTAAAGCTGTAACTAAGCTGATGGATTTGGCTTATTCCCCTTCTCCCATTATTATTCTCTATATTATTCTTCTATATTATTATTTAGAAGAATAATATAGTACCATAGATACTTTATATTGTATGTTATCCCCTAGTTGCTGACCTGTTAAACTTGTTCACTCATTCTCCACAGAAGAAAATAAGTTTAATGACCTCTTCATGAATTCACATCTTACATAATAGTATTATATGGTTGTACATCTGTAATCTCAGCACTTGGGAGGCTGCGGAAGGATAATCTTAAATTCTAAGTCAGCCTAGGTAACATGATGAGAACTTGTCTTTAAAAAAATGTGATTGACCTGCTTTCACTGTATTTGATGTCGGTATAATTTGTGGAGGGGAAGGGGAAAAACAAGTCGTTTAAATAGGGATACAGGTGGACCCATTACAACAATGAGATGTACAAGTCATTATGTCAAAAAATGAACTTTACAACTATGGGGGGGGAGGGGAAGA